AAATCTATTCTCATGGACCTACAGATTGGTCAAAGTGTGGCTGACCCAGCTGGAGTCAGAGGGGGCCATGCTCTGGCCAGGGTCTTTAGGGCCACTGTGCTCATCCCCAGTGTCCATTTCGGAGCTATGGGGGACATCCGCATTTGAATCATCTGGATGTGAATGAAGCCAAGCTCCAGAATCCATTAATAGAGTGACATTAGAGAATGGACCATAATTCACAGAGTCTCAAATCACTCTTTTTGAGTGGCTGATTGGAAGAGTCCCCATTGCGTGGGGAGAGGTGAGTGCTTTGTAGCTGTGAAGGTATAGGAAGTGGGGCTGGATCTCTGGAGTCGCCAGGAACTCTGGGAGTCGGGGAGTCATGGGACCCTCCACTCCCCACCACAGGCTTCCTCTTGGAGGACTAAATGCTGGGTTTAAAACATCTTCCTCTGAACAGAGCGTGCTGATGATGTGCAAGGGCTCAGCTCATGCTGACACGAGGAACTGGCCCTAAAAGAACAACTCTTGGGTGGCTCCCAGAACTTCCTCTGCAGCACGGTCACTGCTCTAGCTGACATGTGGGTGAGGGAGCCTTTTCCCTGGTAGTTATGAGCTACTGAGGAGGGGCAGAAAGAGAAAGCAACAGTGTCTCTTACCAGTTCCATTCTTCCTGCAGGCCACCAGCAGGAATGTAGGTGGGCAGCACCTTTCCAGCCGTACCTTTGGTTCCCCGTCTTCTTTGCTGGGTTGCCAAACACTGTTGCTGTGTAATTAGTTCCCCTGGCAGGTCTCAGGTACTAGGTTTCTGTGCCGGCCTCCTCTTGTCAGCAGCCTGGAGCTGCCCCAGTTCAGAAATGCAGTGAGCTGGAACAGGGAGTGGACCCACGGGTGGGAGATGGGTTTGATCCTGCAGCGACAAGAGCTGCTCCTTAATGTTGTAATCTCCTGCTTATCAGGGATTCAAAACTAGATTTCCTGTTGTATCTTATAATCTTCCCTGAATAGGCTCACAAGAGATCCCACTAATCTATTTATTTACTACAAAACACGTTGAGTGTCCTTTCCCAAGACATATGACTAAGGGACTGAAAGAATTCCTTACCCTCCAAATATCTGGCATCTGGTGGGAACTGGCAGGCACTGCTGGCCCTGCGGGTGCCCTTTGTGTTTCTGCAGAGGATCCTCTGCTTTGGGCACAGACAGGAAGGACGTCTCAGCCAGAGTGGGAGGCAGCCAAGCAGATGCACATGGAGGAGGGGAACTTTACTTGAATTTTATGAATGAACGTATGAATGAATGTATGAATGAATGAATGAATGAATGGATGGATGGATGGATGGATGAATGAATGGAGCATGGTGCTCCACAGAGGGGACAGAAGGTGTGAGGACTGAGGGGTGGAAAAGAAATACCACTCGCTTTGGAGAACCGAGTAGCTTATCAATGGAGCATAGTGTGGAAATCTGAAATCTGAAATCCAAACTCTGAAACTTTTTGAGCACCAACATGGCATCATATGTGGGAAATTCTACACCTGACTTCATATGACAGGCTGCTGTCAAAATACAAGTACACCACAAAAGGTTGTATAAGATTACCTTCAAGGTATTTGTATGTAGTACATATAAAACAGAAATGAAATTTGTGTTTTGACTTGGGCCTCTTAGCAAGATAGCTTATATGTATATGCAAATATTCCAGAATTAGAAAGAAAAATACCGCAAATCTGAAACATTTCTGGTCACAGGCATTTCAGATAAGGGATACTCAACCTGTAGCAAATGTGGATTCTTACATGGTGGCAATGAGCCTGTGCAACAGGGGAAGCAACCAGGCTTTCCACGTTAAGTGGATCCCCCCGTTTAATAGATGAGCAAATGGAAATCAGAGAAATAAATGACTTCTAATGTCAAGTTGCTATTAAGTGCAAAAGCCAGGATTTGAATATGGATTACCTCAAATGGGAAGGGTTAGGTGGGCAGAACCTCGTACAAAAGATTAAAGGCGACCAGCTAACCACCAGGTAGGGGGAAAGAGCAGATTTTTCATCAGTAATAATACAGAAATTTCAACAACAACGAGCAACTATGCTCAAGCCATGAAATTAATGAGTAAAATGATAGGATTCAATGAAACAAACATTCTCCGTCTCTCACAATGGCAGTACACTAGGTACCACCCTTCTGGAAAGCAATTTGGCAAAAGCATTAAGAGTCTTAAATATATTTGCTCTTCAACTCTTCAGGAAATCATCTGAAATACGAAGAGGTGGGGGAAAAGCCACATTCTCTGCATGGAAGGCGCATTTCAATACAGTGCAGTTGACGCAAATATTTTTAAGTCAAGAATAGTGTGGGGCAAACTTCCACAAAACAGAAATTTTTTCTGCAGTTAATTCTGATTGTAAAGAATTTTAATAAATTAATATGGCAACAGGCTCATGTAGATGGCAAATGTAGGATATAAAATCGAACAAAAAAGTTTCAGGCTGTCCCATGATGAACTAATACTGGAGATAAAAATCTTCAAAATAATCTACTTTGAAAGAGTGTTGGAAATGGCATCATGATGCTAAATAAGTTAAGCATTAGAATTAATGGAATTAGAGTTAAGCATAAGTTAAGGGATATACCTTGAAAAATGAAATTATCTTTATGAAGTTAATTTATGCATTTAATACATATACCTATATATAGATATCATTCATCATGGCAAATCTGTGTAAAATCTTAAGAAGAGTGAAGCGTGGCTTGTTTCCTTTGCAATTTTTTAAAACAACATTGATTGATAGCAGAATATAAAGAGAAGTGCATAAAGGAGCTGGGCATGTCTGGGAGGCTGAGGCAGGAGGACTGACAGTTTGAGTTCCCCACCCCAGGCAACTAAGCTAACTCATTAAAACCATGTGTCAGAAAACAACAAAACCAAAGCCGGGGCCGTGGCTCAGAGCAAAGGTCCTGAGTTCAATCCCCAGTACTGAAAAGAAAAAAGTTCCTGAAGCTGGTCCTTTTTTGGCAAAGTGTTTGAGATTTGTGCCAGTTTTCCTGGGTCTCTCTTGCTCCTTTTTACTCAAACCTTGCTCATTAGAAGCATGTGTCACTATTTATTCCTCCAACAGATACCTGCTGAGTGCTGAGTCAGGCATTGTTCTATGACATGAGATGGGGGTGTTAAACAGCAGCAATAATAGCAACAACAATAAACAGGCCAAGTCCTTGTCCTCACTGAAATCCTAGAAGGAAAAAATGAAATTTGGTTATTGAACAGATATTGAGAGAACATCTAGCATTCTCTGGGTGCATTCTTACGTACTGAGACTACATTGGAGCACTAAAAAGACGGCTGTTATGGGGAACACATTCTAGCAGGGCCCAAAACATAAATGAACAGAACACTGCGATACTTGCTATGGGGAACATACGGGGGAGCCAGGCCCAGAAGGGGTTGTGGACTAGACTTTCCCTCTCAGGCATGTGTCACGGTCTTCACTTGTGATCTCAGGGTTTTTGTAACATTATGAAATCCTGCATCTTTTGCAAGACTTGCAGATTTGCTTTGTAAGTGATGAGCTTTATAAATGAGTTCCTTTGAATTGATAGAGTCTCCCTGAACCTCTCAAGGGGTGAATCAATATGTGCCTGATCAGCTAGAATAGTGACTTTAACTGTCCAAGAGAGTGCTACTGGGGATGGCTGGGGTCTTAAGGGGGTCTTAAGAGCTGAGTTCTGTAAGAGGCTTAGGTGAATGGAAGCGTGTGCCCCAGGGAGGGCCCAAGCTCTTCTTCTTTTGTCCCCTGCCCATGAGGTAAGCAGTTGCTTGGCTACTCCCTCCTGCCATGATGTGCTGCCTCAATGCAGGCCCAAAAGCCATGCCACTGATCCACCATGGACTGCAATCTCCAAAACCATGAGCCCAAACCAACCTTTTCTTTTGATAAGTTGACTGTCTCAGGTATGTTTGCGATAGTGCTAGGAAACTGACTACAAGAAAAGCAAGCCTCTTTCCTTAGTAGAAGTAAAGGAACAAATCCAAAGGCCTCAGTTTCTTGAGGTTTAAATGCATCTAAATAAAATGAATAATTTCCCACATGTATTCCAGGGGGAGAGGTACAAGTTTCCATGTTGTATGAAGAGATGATTTTTGTAACATTTTATTATGGTTAAAGGTATGCATTTCTCCTTCAGGGACTGAGAGTGGAAATTTTATATGATGTCTTAATTAGCATCCTGAATACTAAATGGAATTAGAATATCCCCCAAAGTCTGTTTAGATAAATTATAAAATTAACAATTAACATTTTATACAACTGCCATGAATTTTTTTCTATTATTCTCTCTCTCTCTCCCTCTCCCTCTCCCCCTCCCTATCTTGCTCTGTCTTTCTATCTCTGTCTCTCCCTTCTTCCTCTCTCCACCTCCTTTTCCACCTTCTTTCTTTTCTTCCAGGGACCTTTGGACAAGTTCCTGCTCCCCTGAGGAAGAGTCCCTCTGTCCTGTGACTTCCCTCAGTGCTTGGTCCATCACTGCCCATTACTGCCCTAGTCATGGCCACCTGCAAGTGTCCTGAGAGTCACCCTCTGTCCTGCACATTTAAGGTCTTCTCTGTCTCTGTCTCTGTCTCTGTCTCTGTCTCTGTCTCTGTCTCTCTCTCTCTCTCTCTCTCTGTCTCTATCTATCTCTATCTCTATCTCTCTCTAACTCTCTCTATCTATCTCTCACACACACACATTTTTCTTCTCCCCACTCCACTTTCTTCAAGGCTACACTAGAATACCACTTCCCAGAAGTCCCTTCCCTAACCCTTTGCAATCTAAAAATTTGGCAGGGGCCTTCCTGCTTCCGGCATGCTCTCTGTGCATCCGGAGAGGTGGTGGGGTGCCCTGGAGAATCACCGGGCCTCTGCATTCAGTCCCTGCTCCAGCCTTGACTGTGATGTGACCTTTGACACATGGAGTTCAGCTTCTTCAGCTTCCCCACTGCCTGGTGGGGTGAGCAAAAGCTCTGTCATTTTCCCAGAGTGCACACGGCAGTCCAACCAGGCATGATTTCAGCGGGATGATCTCCACAATAGAAGTATGGTACCCTGAGACCATGTGGAAAACACTGGCTGATGTACCATGGCTGACGGTGGCTGGAGACAAGTAAGTAGAAACCTAGTCAGACCATCTCCAGATAAGGCAACTTTTATTATTTCATTACTTCATGTGTATTTATGTTATTATTATTATTGTTGTTGTTGTTGTTATTGTTAGTGGTGGAACTGAGATTGAATGAACCCAGAGCCTTGACACTGACTTACGCTCCCCGTATCTTTCTATTTTATTTTTTTTTTAATTGAGACAGTGTCTAGCTAAGTCACTAAGTAGCCTGTAATAGGTTTGAACTTGCAATTCCCCTGCCTCAGCCTCCCAAGGTGCTGGGATTCCAGGTGTGCACCGCTGTCCCCACACTGCTGTGGACTGCAAAGGCTGCACAAGTGTAGAAGTGGCTGGGTTGTGCACCATAACTCTGCCACAAGCAGAGAGGAACACCAGCAAAGCAGAAGGGAGAGCACAGGAGGTGGGGAAGCTGAGGAAGGAAGCCAGGAGGGTTGAGGAGGAGCAGCAGGAGGGTCTGCAGAGACCCTCAGGCTGGAGCACTAGGCATAGACGCTCCATAGGGTGCAAGGTGGAGCAAGTCACAGGCCCAGGAGCCTGGCCCGCTGGAGGCTGCAGCTGCACAGTGCGTTTATGCTTCTCACCACTTTGGACAGAGCAGCGTTCCGAGCCCCAGTGTCACTCAGAGCTCTCACGCTCCGGCCGCCCCAGGAGCCTCCAGCAGGCCTCAGCAGCAGGACTTTCCCAGTCTCCACTCATCTGCCCTGAAACTTGTGTTTAATCATAGACTAACGGTGACTGCCCCAGGAGGTCAATCGTTAGACTAACGATCGCCCTTGACAAGAGTCAGTGCGTGTTTGCAGTGAAATATATGAAAAAATAAATAAAAGGCATTAATATTTTATTAACAACCATTAAGATCTACTAGAATAGAGTATATTACACTAGTAATAAAAGGAATCATAACATTATTGCAACAACAATAAAGACAATTGCGCTCATACATTGCCGGGTTGCTTTGTGACGGCCGCCTGCCTCACACTGTGTTTTTGTCCTTGTAACCCAGAATCACGGGACTCCTGTGCTCCGGAAGGTGCCCCTCTTTCTGGCTGTCTGCTCTTGGCCTCTCAGATGCTCTAGCTATTGGAAGAGGACTCCCCAGCCTCCCCTGAAAACTTCCAGCTTTCCAGGGATCCTGAGACAGGAAGCGAGCAAGTGGCCTGCAAAAGGGAGCAGCAAATCTGGCGTGTTTTGCCAGGGATGGTACTGGCTGGGCCCAGGTTTTCAGAGGAAATGCACTTGCCAGGGCCAGCTGCCCTGTGCATACATGAGGGGCCTTGCTGTGGCTGCAGCAGGGGTGCCGTGGGCGGGCTTTTCAAATACAAGGCAGCACCAGCAGCAGGAGCCATTTCCCACCAGCTGGTTCTGAAGCCTTAGCATAGAACCTGGCTCTGCAGAGCCTCTGATGGTGCTGCAAGATGCTCAGGAGCCTTGTCTGCATGATTAAAAAGTGTGTTAGGATGCCCTCAGCAAGAACCTCCATCTTCACCATTCCTAAGTGCACACCAGTAGTGTTAAGTACAACCACCTTACTGCTCTGCCATCCTCTTCATCCAGTTCTCCATCTTCATTCCCCTGAGGGACACTCTGTGCCATTTCTTCTCCCCTCCCTCAGTCCTTGGCAGTCACCGTGCTGCTTTCTGTCTCTATAGATTTGACTGCTCGGAGGACCTCAAAGTAAGTAGAACATTCTTATGAAGGGCTTATTTCATCTGGTACAAAGTCCTTAAGGCTCATCTGTGTTGAAGCATGTGATAGGATGATCTTTCTTTTCAAGGCTGAATAATATTCTATTGTACACATATGCTGTAATCTATGTATTCATTTGTGGATCAGTGGACACTTGTTTGCTTCCACCTTTCAAATATTATGATTGGTGTGTCTGTGTTCAGCATCAGCACTGAGGAGCACTTCAATTGGACTGGAGGAATCTCCTCCTCAGAGGCCTGCTTTTTCTCTGATGCAGGCCCTCACCTGATGCTGTGAGGCCCGTCACACCCAGGAAGGCCACCTGCCTTTCTAGCCTAATGATTTCAAAATCAGCTTCATCTAGAAATACTTTGGGGCTCAAAATAACCATCAGCTAACCCCATGTTCCAAGTCAGCCAGCCTTTGGACAGGAGCTACACACTACTCTCCCAGCAGGCCCACAGCCCACTCACGCTGCTGATCTCTCGACCTACCTCCTTCTGGAAGCCCTGAACTCCTGGGATAAAGGCCCAGTGAGAAACCAGTACCAGAGACACCACTGTGTCTGGAACAGCAGCTCCTTGCAGAGTGGCCTGGCTGAGTTCTGAAGAGGAGTTCTCCTCAGAGCTCCTGCCTTGGGCGTTAGCTCGCTGGGGCTGCCTTAAGTAGGTACCACAAACTGGGGGGTGGGGTTCTGACAGCATAAATCTGTCTCTCAGTTTAGGGATTAGAAGTCTGAGATCAAATGTCGGTAGGGTTGCTTCCTTCTGAAGCCATGAGAGAGAGCCCACTCCAGGCCTCTCCACTAGCTTCTGGGGTCTCTGGGGATCTCAGGAGCTCCTAGATTTGTAGATGCATCACCTGGTCTTGGCCTTTGTCTTCACACAGCACACCTCCCCATGTAGACCAAATGTCCAAATGTCCCCTTGACAACGATGCCAGTCACTTTGGATGAGGCCTCTGTCTACTCCAGTATGGTTCATCCTAATTTAATTCACTTTATCTCTGGTGGCTCTGTTTCTGAATAAGGTCCCATCCTGAGGCCTGGAGAATAAGACTTCCACAAATGGATCTGGCCGAACATGATTCAACACAGAACGCATTGGTGAGTGCCCTGTGTTTCTGAGAGTGTGACATCTATAGGATCTGGACAAACGCATACACATTTATCCTGAGAGAGTTTCCTTCCAAGCAGCCAGTTAGGGCCATGACCTCTGCCAGCCCAGAAGTCCCACGGTCCCTTCTCCCAGATCCTCTCCCAGCCTGAGGCCCAGTGCAGCTCTGCACATGCATTATTGATAGCTGCCCTGAGCTTGCCAAGTGCGCTGTGCTGGCTGTGTGTGTGTGTGTGTGTGTGTGTGTGTGTGTGTGTGCGCGCGCGCACGCGCCTGCATGCATGCATGTGTTTCAGACAGAGACAAAAAGGGCAATGATGGCACTGCTGGTCATTGGGGTCCTGCTTTAGGAAGATCACTCTTGGCTTGTTTTCTCAGGTGCCCCTGATAGTGCCTGCGGAACAGACGAGGCTGGGTGTGGCCTTTCAACTCCAGTGAGCACAGACCAGCAGGGTTCTTGCCCAGTCACCTTCAAAGGCCTGCACCACAATGTCCTCCCACCTGCTCACTGGGCCCCACATGGCCCAGACACAGCTCTACATCCAGCCTTTCACCCTCCTCCTTTGCTTCCCCGGACCTCCTGTCTCTTCCCCCTTCGTGTTCATAGGTCCTCCTGGAAGACTCAACCACTTACAGTTGTTGAGTGATTAAATATTTATAATCAGGGCAATGAGTGAGGTATTAAATAATAAATGCTAAGGGTGAAGCAGCCTTAGATAATTTCTGCAGATTTCTTCATCCATAGCCCCTTTGATTCCAAAGCAGGAAAACATAAGTCTTTTCATTAACTTTGGGGGGGGGTGCAGCTGTGACAGTTGATAGGCCTTTATCTCTGGCTCATGAGCCACAGCCCTGCAGCTGGGCCTACCCTTCCACTTGCCCCCACAGACATGTAGATACCAGGTGTTGTGGTGGGCCCTTCATTGCTTGTTTCTAGATACTCATGGGGAAAGCAGTGCTCGGACACTCAAATCCCTGGACCACAAATGCGCCACTGCTGTTCTGGGACAAGGAGGAAAGTTCTATGGGTCATTAATGGTACCAGTGGTGCCTCCTCCCTGTGGACTTGGAGCAGGCTGTTAGTCCGATATCACACAGACCCGCACTGTGCCCTCCCTGTGACTCTGTGCAGAAGCTATTGCTGATATTTGGATGGTTACAGTTGGGGAAGAACAGACATAAAGAACCCAAATCATTTGCTCAAAGCTTAGAGCTGGGAGCCATTGGATCTTGCATGAGGAGACTTCTGGTGGCTTCCTCAGCTCCCTCCTCATTCCAGGGAGCTTTCCAGGAAGCAGGGACAGAGAGACAAAGACATGAGTCAGAAAGAGTGTCTGCCCTGTGGACAGCTCAGAACAGGAAGAGTGGCCCAGGCACAGAGAGAATGAATGTTCATGCGGGCTCATGTTGCACCCTAATCCCACTGTGAGGAAAACTGGAGGTGGGACCCTTATTGTGTGGAGCCAGAGTATCCCCCAGAGGCTCCAACCTTGAAGATTTGGTCCCCAACACTGCAATGTTCACAGGCAAGTATTTGGGAAGTGATTGGATCAAGAGGGCTCTAACTTCCCAGGTGGATTAATCCCCTAATAAAATCAGATCTGATGGCAGACTGGGAGACCCTGTGCCCTTGTACACTGTGTGTTGTCCTGGCCCCTTCCTTTCAATTATCTTTCTCTCTCTGTTTCCTAGTTTCCATAGATGAGAGGCTTTGCTCCCTCAAGCCCTTCCACCAGGATGTTCTGCTTCACTGCATACCCACAAACAAAAGATCCAGGTGACCATTGACTGAAACTTCTGCAACATAAGCCAAAACAAAACTTTCCTCACTTAAATTGTTTTTCTCAGGTATTTTCTTACAGCAAAGGAAAACTGACAGGCATGGGGCCCTTGAGAGATGATTAGCTCATGAGTGTAGAAACATCCCCAATGATATCCAACCCTGTGAAGAGACTCCAGAAACTCCCACTACCCCATCTGCCATAGACACAGTGAGAAGGTACCCACAAGCCAGAAATGGGACCACACTAGACACCAAACACACAGGTGCCTTGACCTCTGGCTTCCCCAGTTCATAGTTCCTCCGGAACTATGAACAATTGATTGCTGATTTTTATATGCAATCAGGCCGTGGCATTTTGTTAGAGTGGCCTGAATGAATCAAGACAGCACTGGGAAGAAGTGGGAGGACCGTTGTAACAAATTCCTTCTGTAGTAGAAGCAACTTTGGATATGGGTAGTAAGTCAATGCTGGAAGAGCTTTGGCCTCATGCTAGAAAAGCCTGCATTGCCAAGAAATGACACTTAAAGGTGAGTGTAGTGCCAACGCAAAAGAAAAAAAAAATGAAGAAGAAGGAGAAGGGGAAGAAGAAGGAGAAGGAGAAGCAGAAAGAGAAGGAGAAGGAGGAGAAGGAGAAGGAGAAGGAGAAGAAGGAAAAGGAGAAGAGTGTTGGATAAGAACCCTCAGTCTTCTTAGATGATGCCTACCCTACCCTGCGCAGAATGTTGCTGGAAACGGATGCAATGAAAGCCATTCTGATGACATGGCTGTTGGCAATGAGGAGCATGCTACTGGACTGTGGAACAAAGGCCATTCTTGTTATAAAGGGACAGAGACCTTGGATAAATCATGTTTGTGTTCTAGAGTTTTGTGGAAGGTAAAATTTGTAGATGATAAAATTGAATTATTTTACTGAGGAAATTTCTAAACAAAGTGCTGAAGGAGTTGCCTGACTTCCCCCAACTGTTTATAATAAAATGTGAGAAGAGAGAAATGATAGGAAGATAACATTGTTAACCAAAAGGGAAGCAGAACTTAAAGACTTGGAAAATTCTTAGCTTGTGTATAATTTTCAAATGAGAATGCATGTCCAGGAGAGAATGCTAAGCATGTGCCCTCTAGCCCAACACAGATTAGCCAGCCATCTCAGCTGAAGACAGGACCTGCTGCTCAAGATGATTAGAAGAAGGTCCTGACAGCATCCCAGAGACCCTTGGGCTGTGCTCTCATCACAGGCTAACATCAGAATGGTTTTAAAGGAGAGGTCATTGGAGCTCCACAGTGGGACAGGTGGTGGGTTCCGTGTGGCTCCCTCCATTCTGGAATGGTGTGATTTGTGCCACGTGTAGTCATAGATATACTACTAGCTCCAAGTTTCAAAAACCGGAGCCTTCTGCCAGAGCTTCAGGCTTAGAATCCATACCCTGGAGAGGCTTGGGGCCCAGGCACCAGCAAGTGGGAGTGATGCAGCTATGATGGTTTGGAAGTCCCCATCAAAACTCATGATGAAATTTAGTTCCTAGTATGCTTTAGATCCAAACCTTAACCCCATCCCATTCTCATGTGCTAGAAAGAATCACAGGATGCTATATTCATCAGTGGATTCATCAATAAAGAAGTTTATACCTGAATGTGTCATTAGGAGGTAGTGCCTGGTTGGAGATGGATCACTATGGTGTAAGTTGCAAGGGTGTATTCTTGTCCCCTCCTCCTCCCTTCTCTCTTTGCTTCTTGGTTGCCATGGGTTGAGTACATTTTCCATTGAGCCAGTAAACCATGGACCCAATCCCCCAAACCATAAACCATATTAAACCTCTCCTTCTTTGAGTTGTGGGTTTTAGTATTATGTTCAGAATGGGAAAGTGACTGAGACAGTACACATTGTAAGATACTAATAGCAGGATCATGTGGGAGCTTCATGAGTTAATGAGCTAATGGAATTAATAGGTTATGTTGGAAGAGATAGTTTCTAGAAAACAATTTTCCTCAACCTCCTATGTGTACCCTCCTTACCATATGGTGCAGTGCCCTGTGAAGCCTCAGGCTACTGCACAGAGTCCCCACTAGTCTAGCTTCTAGAAACTTCAGCTGAAGGAAAGTCTACCCTTCCTAAATTGCCCACTCTATCATATTCAGGTTTAGCAAAAGAAAACGGACATCCCAAACCATGAGGTATGGACACTCTGAACTCTGAGGATCCAACTATGGGTGCAGGACCACTGTGCAGAAAGCACAAACCTCTGCTCCATTGGGTCTGAAGGACACAGTATCCAGATTGTTCTACAATCCTAACATCTGGTTAATTTACCCCAGGGCTCTTAGATTTGCTTTGTAATAGTAGCCTGAATAGCCTAAGACAAAGGTGAACCATTAGAATGAAGATAAAGGTAAGAAAAGTGTCTGAACGGAAGAGCAAGTGGCCAACTCTGTCAGATGGGTCTGTCCAGGCTTCACAGGAAAAGAGATCTCTGACTTGGAACTGAAAAGCTATGCAGAAGTTCTCTGAGGATGAGTTTTCCTGAGAACTCTGCCTGAGATAATGAGGGGACTGACCAGCTCCCCCATCTTCTGAGTGGTTCTAACCCATCCATTTGAAATTCCTTCAGAGGGAACAGGGTCAAGACTGTTGTAATCAAACCATCTTTTCCTTTTGAAGCAACATTATTCTCTCACGCCCTGAGAGCACAGAAAGAAAGAATGTTTAAGGAAGGATACAGTTTTCACATGTTCATTTTGACCTGGAGGAAGCTTTTATTTCCCAACTACATAGTGATAATACCAGAAACTGCTTAACAATTTCTCCAGGTTAAAAATATTTTCCATACAGAAAAATACTTTGAGAGTCAAACAGCAGAAATGCCATCCATCATTTCTCTAATGGAAAAGGAGAATTAAATTGATGACAGGGGCCAGAGACTGAGATAGATATATTTGCATGTCTGTTTTCTCGCTATCCTATTTGAAAATAAACTACTCTTTCACAGCATGAAGCAATCTGATAGAGCCGGTGTGCTGTCGCTTTTCTGTTGCTGGGTAAATACTTGATACCAGCAACTGAAAGGAGAGGTCTAGTTTGACTTACGGTTTTAGAGTCTACATAGCAGAAACATTTTCTGAGTCACTATTCTGGTTGCTAAAACACAATACCTGACACCCATAATGTAAAAGAGGAGAGGTTTGTTTTGCCTAGTGGTTTTTAGAGATGTCAGTCCACAGCCTTCTGGCCCAAAGGCATGCGTGCATGACAGAAGGGTCTCGGGGGAAGAGAGCTGCTCACGCCATGGCAGCCAGGAAGCAGAGATCAACAAGAAGAGCTGAGAAGGCAGATGTATCCTTTCAGCTCACACTTTCAGTGGCCTGCCTCTTTAGACCAGACCCCAGCTCTTAACCGTCAGCTTCAGCACCTTGTGATCCACGCTCTTCCAAAGTCCTACCTACCAACACATGAGGTTCTTGGGAGGCTGTAGATGCAAACCATAACAAATGTCATGGTGGACGTTCATAGCGAAGGAAAATGTCCACCTCTTGGTATCAAGGAAACAGCAGTGGGACAGCCAGAGAGAAAAGGCTGGGGGACAGATGTAGTCCCCAAGTTCATACTCTGATGACCTTCTACTGAGGCCCCACCTTGTGGCAGCCCCTTTATTTAAGAACTTATCAAAGAGTTAACTCATGGATCAGGCTAGTGTCCTCACAATCCAATTACCTCTGCAAAAGTCTCAATCCAGTCAACTTGACAATGAAGTTTAACCTAACCAGCACAACCAGGTTTCACCATGGCCACAGATGGGTCCATTATCTACCATACACCCTATCCTGTCCATCTCACATGCTACTCTTTTCCACCTCCCCTGGGGGACACTGGCACCTCTTTGAGAAGCTCAGATGTTGCCTTAGGAAATTGGTAGGAGAACCTGTGGAGTTATGGGCAAGAGCTGCAGATTCTTAGATATGTTACTAATTCTTGTGACTAAGGAATTCTTCTTCCTTTTGGCATAGAAAAAAATCTTCACTGCTAGTCCCTTGAGGTAGAACGTGGAAGAGTGACATTCTTGACTGCCGTAGAAGCATTGTTCTGAGCAGAAAAAAAATCATCAGTTCACAGGCAGATCACAATTAGCGAGTGTCTCCCCATGCAGGACACCTTCTCAGAAATATCTGTATTTAGCATAACATTTAATTTTTCCACAAAATCCTCCAAGTAAGATATTTGGATTTCAAAACAAGCTAAGTGACAAGGCCAAGGTCACAAAGATGGCAAAGCTGAAGCCAAAAATTAACCTCAGGCATTGCAATCCAGTTTTAGTTCTAGCACTGATAATGCTGATGACGTAATTATAAAAACACAAGACACAGTAGTGTTAATGAGCACTTAGTGTGTTTCTGTTTGCAGGTCTAGGTGTGGGAATTCCTGTTTTCCACAGCAGCATTTTCCTAAGCTTAACTGTGTAGAATGTTACTTTCAAGAAGGACATAATGGAGTATTACTCAGCTATAAAGAAAGATAAACTCAAGGCTTTTATAGGTAAATGGAAGCAACTACAGACCATATTCTTAAGTGAAATAAATCAAACCCGCATGTGTTAACATCTTATTGTCTCCCTAGTGTAAGACACTGAAAGATTAAATAAAATCCAAAAGGTACAATAGATATTGTAAAAAGGAAAGAAACTGCTCAAAAAGAAAGAACAACTGGGATGGGGAAAGGAAAAATGAAAGAAAGAAGAAAGGGAGAAAAATATGTGTGTATACACAAGAGAGCAAAGATAATTGTACTACTAATTTCTATTGGTTTATTGAAAGGAACATTTAGTGCTCATTTTTTGATCAATTTTTCATGACTGTATCTGGTAATCCAAACAACTACTTTGAAGTTAACAATATGCAATATAACAACCATTGTTAATTTCCTATCATCTTGCTATGAAAATCTGTATCATTTTTATTGTTTTTTTAAGCTCTTTAAAAAGAAGGAAGTCATGGTTAAAAAAATTCTCTTGAACAAAAACTGTTGATTTCAACAAAGTTCAGATAGTTGTTCTGCTGTTGGCATTTACAGGGTCTTCAGTGTTCAGGTTTGCCTTGTGGATTTCCAAGTACACTTTCAGGGTTAAACATGTGTGTGCTGAGTAGTGATGGAATCATTCGATGGAATAGTAACCCTCAGATGTGGAACCCATGATGGAATGGTAACCACCCCACAAAAGTCTCTAATAGGGGACAGAAATGTGGAACAAGGGTTTCACATTAGGTCACTCCTCCTTGTGCTTTTCGTTGTCTTTCACTTCTGTGTGCTCCATGATTCTCTGCCCCAGAACATATATGGATAATAAGTTTTAATTTTTTTAGAATTACAGAGATTTTTTTTTTAGTTTTGATTTCCAATTATTTTATTTCTTTTTTTTTTAATTTTAAAGAGACCAAAAAATCCCAATAAAAACAATACAGAACTTCTAAACAAGAGGATAGGAAATTAACAATGGTTATTATATCACATACTGTTATCTTCAGAATAGTTTCTCAGGTTACCAGGTGGAAGCTATATAACCACTTCTTATATGTGTTCACCTCCTAAGTACCAAGCACAGAAGCAGATAATGAAGAGTCTGTACATTAA